TTAATAAATGGTTTGACATTGTCAGTAGATACATTTATTAAATGGCCACCATTCAAAATTCAAAATCTGATTTCTGTCTCTATCCAGGCTTTTATCTCGATGAACACTTAGTTCTTTATCCTAGGAAATATTATTCTGAGGTTAGAGAAGAGATTGGGAGACCATTGTTAAGGTTTATATGGAATATTTGAGATGAAAGGTGGGAAAGAGGAGGAAGAGGAGGGAGAGGAGGGGGGGAGTATGGCCCTCCTGGGGAGGGTGGAGGGAATATCTTTTTTAAAAACGATTATAATCTTTTTGAATAATATGAGATAAGAAAATGATTTATATGAAAGACCTTTTTTTGCTGAATAGTAATAAATAAAGAATAAATCATTTATAATATCGTTTGATAAATAATAAATGATCCTTATTAGGAATAAATTAAAATAAATCATCCTAATAAGGGATAAAAAAGAATAAATTACCATTAAAAGTGATAAATAAAGGATTAATTTTTTCTGGAAAAGTTGTTAATATCCAACATTTCATGTCAACTTCTCATTATTGATATATACGATGTAATTAAGAAGAAATTTTGCCAGCAGTTCTAACTTCCGTCCAACTCTAATCAATGAAAGTATTTAATGGAGGGTGTAGTTCCTATTCTACATCCCAAGGGAAAAAGCTTGAGATTTTTAACTAATATTGAAAATATTTTTTTCTAATTTTACAATTAATTTATTTTCCATTAAATTTAATCTTTTTTCTTAATTTCTTTAAGGAAATATGAAAGCGTAATTTCTAAGCTGACAATCCCCTGTTCACAACGATATTCTCAAAACCTTTGTCTGATCAAGTATGAATAAGATATCAATGGTTATAGTTTTGAAAACTGTTTGTTTTCAATTGTGGTTTTCTAGACTTTACATTTCCACCGCTGTAAAACATCTTAAAATTATCAGAATTAAAAACTTCTAGAACTATAAAGACCACAAAATCCTTCACATTAGTGATCAGATAAATGTTCAAGGGTACCGTTGTGAATCGGGCATTGCCATTTATAGTTCAATTGCAATAATGCTTACAAACCCTCAAATATAAATTACGAAATTTATTTTTGAAAAATATATCCCTCTGCAAACTGATATTTGATAGCTAAAATCCCACTTATGTTTGAGAGCTAAAGTCCTACTGATATTTGATAGCTAAAATCCCACTTATGTTTGACAGTTGAATTCTTACTGATATTTGATAGCTAAAGTCCTAATGATGTTTAATAGCTAAAGTCCTATTTTGATATTTGATAGCTTAAGTTCTACTATTCCTGGAAAGCTAAAGTCCTACTAATATGTTAAATCCTACTAATATTTGATAGCTAAAATCCTTATGATGTTTCCTAGCTAAAGTCATACAAATATGTTGGCTAAAGTCCAACTGATATTTAATAGCTAAATTATATCTAATAGCTAATATTTCATAGTTTTAGTCCTACTGATGTTTGATAGCTAAATCCCACTGATATTTTATAGCTAAAATCCCACTGATATTTTATAGCTAAAATCTAACTGATGTTTGATATCTAAAGTTCAACCTGATATTTAATAGCTAAATTCCTACTAATGTTTGGTAGCTACAGTCCTACTAATATTTGATAGCTGAATTCATACTTATAATTTATAGCTAAAGCCCAGGAGTTATTTAATAGCTGTAGTTCTACTGGTGTTTGATAGCTAAAGTCCTTTTGATATTTTAAAGCTAAATACCTACTGATATTTTAGAGCCCCACTGATCTATAACAGCTATAGTTCTACTAATACTTGATAGCTAATGTTCTACTAAATAACTAACGTCCTATTAACATTTTATTGCTTAAGACCTACTAATATTTTATAGTCATACTGATTTCTAATAGCTAAAGTTCTACTGATAATTAATAGCTAAACCCCTATTTATTTCCAATCGCTATTGTTCTACCAATTTTTGATAGCTAAAGTCCTATTGTTAATTACTAAATAATATATGATAGATAAAGCCCTAAATGTTCTCTAATAGCTATGGCTAAAGTCCTCCTGATGGATAACTTAAGACCTATGTAAAATAGGCATTTTTGTGTTGGGGAAAAAGCAAGCAGCTTCAATGAAATTTGAAAATCGATTAAGCACTTTTCTTCAAGTAAATCATGAATTTAATTGAGTTTTCAAAATTCAATTAGAATAATCTTAAATTGAATAATTGACAAGGGTTTTAAATGAAAAGGGAGGAGATCATAATATCAAGAAAATATGTGCTTTAGATTAAATTAGCATATTTTTACACTTTTCAAACTTAACTAAATATTTTGGAAAGTTTAACAAAAAAATGAAGAAAAAAGAGAGAAATTTTAAAAGGGAGGTATTTTTCTTTCTTAATGGTAGTGTTCGCGAAAAATGAAAGGGGGTATAGGCATACGGCGAAAAATAAGCGCTTTTGATCGCTACTAATCTTACTTCTATATGTTGCGTCTATAAGGAGAAAATTGTTTAAAACTACTTATGCTGAATAACGTAGCATCCACCCAAATTGAGAAAGTTGCAATCCACGACTCGGATCGTAAAAAAATCAATTTAATTTGAAACAAATCATTCATAAATTACAACCTAAAGTCACCGATTATTTTTCGCCACATTTATTTGTATAAAGCAAATTTTTCATAATATTTTTACGATTTTTTTCCGCCAGGTGTCTGCCACGTAGAACCATTAAGAGCATCGAGAGCAGAGACACCAGGCGGACAAACTAATCCTCGTTTTAAGTTATTCGGTACTTAAGTTGTTTATAACAATTTTCTCCTTATAGACGCAACAGATAGAAGTAAGATTAGTAGAGATTAATTTTTTGCTCGAACACTCCCTTTAAAGTGAAATAATAAAAAGTCACCGCATAACATAGTTTAATTCACATAGTTTAATACAAACGCAGCGCTCTAAACTCCTGTTAGTGCAATGCGCAATTATTTGCTTAGTTTTAGGTTCGTTATTCGACTTCTAGAATATTCCACAAAAATCGAAGCAAATTTAAAAATTTTTGACAATGAGAGAAAATATATGCATAAATATATGCAGAATCGGACTTCCTCATAATATCTTCTATACATAAATCTGGCGTGTCTGTCTGTTTGTTTGTTTGTATCCAATAAACGTCAAAACGGCTGAACTGATCGGGCCCAAATTTTTTGTGGGACATCACGTGACCACAGGGAAGGTTTTGAATGATAAAAATTTAAAAAAAAATGTGATTTAAAGTTTTTAATTTTGTAAAAATTTTAAATTCTTGAAAATCTGCGAATTTATTTTTAAAAATCCGAAAAAAATTTTCTTCTTCGTTTTAAAATGTAAACAAAAAGAACATGTTCACAATTTAAATAGAAGATGGGCGCGAAGCGCCCTAAAAGCCTAGTTGATTTAAAAGGCAGTTTACTTCTGATTTATTTCTCTATTAGGAAGTTCATCATTACATCTGCATGAATTATGGCGGTTAAATTTCTCTCAAAAAGGAAGGAACTATTCTGTTCTAATGAAGTATGGCCATTTTAGAGTATATTTACGAATTCCAGTTTTAAATTATTGGAAGTTAAATTAAAAGTGTTAGAAAACTAAACAAAACTTTTAACAACCCTGAATACTGTATACTTGGGGTTTATTTTGTTTAAATTAATAATCAAGCATAATAAACCATTTATGATAAACCATCTATTCTGAGCCTGAAATTACAAGTGACAACTACTTTAAACTTTCAGACAACTTTACTTTCTTCTAAGGCTCTGCAAAATTGGTTTCACAAAATTATATTCGGGAAAACCAAAACGTATTTCAGATTCCGCTTTAATCTGTATAAATCACAGATAATCAAAATATTCTAATCAATATTTTCACGAGATTAAAGATTGTCAAAATATTTTTAAATTTTTAATTGAGAAATTTGTTTTCTAGGTAAAATTGATTCGATTAAATATAATCCTAAGATATAACCCTCTAAAGATTGAGTTGTATCCGGTTGTAAGAAACTATTTGGACAAGTTTGCCTAGTTTCTGCAAAACTGAGAAATAGTTTTTTCTCCAACCTCCTTGCCAAGTTCATATTTTATTCCGGGGATAGAGCATCATACCAACTTGATCGAACCTGTTCACTAAACTTATCTAATCTTATTGAAAAAGTTCATAATTGAATTTCTTTCTCCAACCTGCTACATTCTTTAACCGATATCACAAACATGCTCTATTCAATATTTCAAGGAACCCTACCCTCCTCACCCTCCACGGCATGCTGTTCAAATGAAATACCTTTTAATATAAAACAGGATATTAGAAATTATGATGGTGTATCTTTCGACCTACGCAAATCCGCTATACTCCACTTCTGGCATACGCCAAATCCGCAATACTAAACATACGACCTACTAGCACGTGGTTTTACAGCTGCTATATGGACTTGTGGCCGCATCAAAATCAAAGATTACAACAAAACAAACTAAATTTACTCCAGAAATATTTCTCCAAATATCTTTCTTTCTCCATAAGAAATGTTTAAAGTTCAAGTATAAATCTTATAAACCACTTTATGAGTCCATATATGTTTTAATCATGACAATCAATAAATAAAGCTAATCTTTAGTAAAATTCTTTTGCCACTACCTTAAATAAAAACCAAGATTTAAAAAAAACTGTTCTGTATGGAGGAGGCTCCTTCACTGCATAGCTGAGGCACGGTCTGCATAGCGGAGGCTAGGTCTGCACAGTGGAGGCTCGCTCTGCATAGCAAATCTGGGAGGCTTGTGTCTGCATAGCATGCAGAGGCTCATGGCGTCCGGGAGTTCCCTCCCTCGCTGGAGTATACAGTTTGAGTATTAACCTAAGTGTAGTGTTCATAAGCCCCAACGGAATAGCACTGTGTGAGCCCAAAATTTAGTGTACACTATGAGCCCCAACTTTGTGTGTACAATATGAGCCCCAACTGTACTATATAACTCCGTGAATGTTTAGATCTGTTGAGAACAATTACTCCCGCGGACCTTCAGCTCGGAATTCTATATCTCTGGCAGGATATTACGCTTGTGATTCAAACATTACGCATTTATCAAACAGTAGACGTAGTTCATTTTTTAGGTTAGTATCCTTGCATCCTTAGCTTCTATTATCCCAGTACTATCATTCATTATTCATATCTCTCTGTGTCCTCGTATCCCTGTATCCTTGTATCCTTGTATCCTTGTATCTTGTATCCTTGTATCGCTGTATCAAATTATATCCTTTAATCTTAGAACCTAGTATCCTGGTATCCTTAACTTAAAGGACACCAATATTACCATTCATTTATTATTCATATCTCGTTTTATCCTTGTATCATTGTATCCTAGTAATCTTGTTCTTTGTATTCTTTTATCTCTGTATCATTTTATCCTTGTTTACTTAATTCATTGAATCCCTGAATCCTTGAATCCTAAAATCGTTGAATCCTTGAATTAATTAATCCCTTAATCCTTGAATCATTGAATTCCTTTATCCTTGATTCTTCGAATCTTTGAATTCTTGAATCCTTGAATCCTTGAACCCTGAAACCCTTGAATCCTTGAATCCTTGATTCCTAAAATCCTGGAATCTTTGAATACTGAAATCCTTGAATCCTTGAATCCTTGAATCCTTGAATCCATGAATCCTTTAATCTTTGAATCCTTGAATCCTGGAATCCCGGAATCCTGGAATCCTTGAATCCTTGAATCCTTGAATCCTTGAATCCATGAATACTGGAATCCTTAAATCCATATTTCCTTGAATCCTGGAATCCTGGAATCCTTTAATGCCTGTTTCTTATCCTTGTATATTTTTCTGTATCCCTAAGCTTGTACCCTTTGATACATTTTTGTATTCCTTCGTATTCTTTGTATATATTCCTGTATTCCTTCGTATTCTTTGTATTGTATATATTCCTGTATTCCTTCGTATTCTTTGTATATATTTTTGTATTCCTTTGTATATTCCTTTGTATATATTCCTGTATTCCTTCGTGTTCTTTGTATATATATTATTGTATTCCTTTGTATATTCCTTTGTATATATTCCTGTATTCCTTCGTATTCTTTGTATATATTCCTGTATTCCTTCGTATTCTTTGTATAAATTCCTGTATTTCTATTTTCTAAAATTTTATAAGTTTTCACTTTTCCGTGGAGCGGAAGTGCAATAAGTGTATCAAGTGCACGAAACCTTTAACGTCTAAAGATTTTTAGAAATGATGAAGAATTGTTTATTTACATTCTCCCGCCGAATCTTTAAATCTTTTTAAAGTACAGATCTAGAATGTCAAGATTCTATATTTGTATAAAACTAAGTGCAAAGTGCATCCAGTGCCAGTCAATCATCATTTAAAAAAAAAACTCAGCTCAAAGTTTGAAAAATAAACCTTTAACAAGGAAGCTTTCTCGGATAGTACTCATTTGTTAAAACATTCATGCTTGGATTAAATATAAGGTGAAATATATGTAAGGGGGGGGGGCGGGGGGGTGTCCGTAGACTTCTCTGCCCAGGACCTTTGTTTACAATTTAAGTAAACTAGTTCCTGATAGTCCCCTGATAGTCCCTATAATAGTCCTTATAACGTCCCTGTCAAAACTATATCCCTTCCGCCTTACATTTATTGCACCTTGGAATGATTTAAATTCATATATAAGTTTCCTGAATTTTAGTTTCTTATAAAGATTTGATTAAATTTATCTTCAGGATGCATTCTCAGTATCTGAGTAACCCTCAACACCAGAGCAATGAAACCCAGCTCCAGGGTAGTACAGTTATCCTGGAGAAGGGAGGGGTTGGACCGAACAGGATAATACCAGTCATTCAGGAACCAAAGTCTCATTCAAAACAATTTCTAGAAACAATGAGTATTTCCATTTTATAACATTTTATAGCATTTTATAATTTTTTATAGCATTTTATAACATTTTATAGCATTTTATAACATTTTATAACATTTTATAACATTTCTAACTTTCATTTTAGATTTATTGAAAACTTTACACTGTAATCTTCCTTATCCTTTACTTTATGAACTGTAATAAATTTGGCTATAATGTACTGTACTACTAACTGTAATGTACTGTTTTCTAGCGAAATTTACTGTAACTTCTGTACTTAATGTACCGTACTTATTTTACTGCACATACAGTTCTGTACCTACTGCTGTACTATAATATTTTACTTATTGCTGTACTGTAGTTACTGTACTGTAGTTACTTTAATGTACTTTTTACAGTTGTTACTATATTCTATTTTTAATGTACTGCAGTTATTCTACTGTGCTTACTGTATTGAACCATTCTTTACTGTATACTGTACTACTGTCTATACTTTGCTGTACACTGTACATGTATGTACTGATCCTTATTGTGCTGTATTAAACTAACCTGCACAATGTACTGACTGTAGACTGAGGATATACTGTAGGAGGAGTCAGACCATGAACGGTTTCCTTCAACCTTGATCTCAGTTACTCCACCAACTCCTCTAACCAGTCCTTCAGCCTCGGATGCAATCACCTCATCAAACCAGATTATAAACGGAAGAAGAGAATACCAGAACGGATCCAGTAATAGTTCCCCCTCGGAGACAGAGAACTTGTTATCCAAAAAACAAGAGTCCAAACCTAGAGTTAGGATAAATCTGGAAAGTGAAAAGATTGCCAAAGACGTAAATACGATAATTATTGAACCTAAACCTCGGAGTAAATCTAGTTCTCCAACAGGTTCATCCAAGCGGGGGTCTTCAAGAAGTCCCCGACAGGAACGAAATAGGAGGAGAAGTTCCTCAAAACCCGGAGACATGGCCGGGTTTTCTCATCCTGATCTAATCATACCAATCCTTCCATCTCCGACTTAAAACTGAGCATATTTGAATTATAGCATGCGGTTCTCATAGTTCATCCCATATCTAAGTCGTGTTCTTCTCATTGATAAATTGTTAATCTTGAACAATTGATCTCAATATCTTATGTGGGCACTTTTAAATTTGTAGATCATTGCCTGATCCCTCAATTAAAGTTATCCCGACCAACATTGGATATCGAAGAGGAATTAAAAAATATGTAGATCTGCATCAGATGGAGATCAACTCTTGATCCTGAGATTCAAAACAAAAAGTTCTGATTTCAAGAGAATCAAAAAATGATAGGAAACCTTTTCGCACACAAAGAAGACTTCAGAGACGACTGTACAGATTTGTACATTTTTATTTCTTAGATTCAAGCATCCCTGCAGCATTATCAGGAGATGGTTCATTGTGCGTACTGTACTGTTTTAGCCGTCTATAGCAAATAGATTCTCAAGTACAATAGTGGCAACAGAGAAATGGGCCAATTATACATGAAGTCACAAGTGTCAAATATAACAAGGAAGACAACATTTTCTCCCATTAGTTGAAATGTTTTCTAAGATTAGAAAAAAAGTGTAGCAACAGAAAATAAAGAACACAAAATTGTACTTATTTCACTGTAAGATAAGCACTTTATTTTTACTATTATTAAAATTTTGTCGGACACATAAAACTGTTGAATACAACATTGCCATCTATTGTGCTTGATAATCTAGTTGGTCTACAGTCTGCATGTTTATAATGTACAACTTGCCAAAGCTTCCTGAAAGTAAACCTTTTTTAAAGCATTTACAAGATTAAAACAATGAATGCTGGAAAAGATTTCTGTGTTTAAGAGAGCCAAGTCAACATAAGCTTGAAATTTTAGGTTTGAAAATCAATATATTTAAAAAGGTTTTAAGTGTCTGAGGACGTCAATCTATCAAAATCAGAACAAAGGAACTTAGTTTTTGTCACAAACTCGGATTTTTCAATCCCTATTTCTTTGCAACCCGATATCTTTTGTACTTTAAACCATGAATTCTGTTTGTGATAATGGCCACAAACTCAAATGTTCTAATCCCTTCATCTTTGCAACCTTATGGTATTATCTTTTTATTATTTAAAACTTGACAAATTTGGATTTTTAATTCCTATTTCTTTGCAACCCAATATCTTTTGTACTTCAAACCATTAATTCTGTTCGTCAAGTTTAAAATATCAAAGAGAATACCTATAAGGTTGCAAAGATGAAGAGATTAGAACATGTGGCTAAAAATGTCAAATGATTTTTGTAGATTGCCTAGTTTTGATCTGTGTGTGTATATATGTTAGAAAAAAAACATTTAGATTATAAAATGGCGTAAATTGACTAAATTTTTAATAATCTTTTAATCATGTTTTAAATCAAATAAACCCGCTGTTAAGTGGTGTAAACAGATATTTAAAAATATACGAATGTTAAAAATATATTTGAAAAAAATAATATTTTCCCCTAATTAAGTCTGCTTATTGTATATAATAAGCTATGTGTACCATGTACACGTTACAAACCATGCTTAAACTTGTAACCGGCAGTATGAAGAGAAAAATTAACTTTGTGTTTTTATTCGTTCACTAAAAAGACATTTTGCCAAAAAAAAACTTAAGCATCAAATTTAAGTTTTTAATTTAATTTAACCTTCCAATAATTTTTCTCTCATCAAAATGAAAAATGTTAGATTTGAAATTAGAAACAATATTTTAAAAACTTAGATTTTAAATTCTATATTAGAAGTTAGAATCTTTAATAAATTTGATTTTGAATTTAGAATCTTGGATTTGAATCTAAAATTTCTAATTCCAAATTAGAATTGACAATTTTTATTAGAATTATTTTTTTTAAAGTTATAAAGTTTATAATTAACACTTTTAAAAGAAGATCGTTAAGTTTAAACCCCTTGAATGTTTATTGTTCCTCCATGGTCCGCCAAAATCAATGTCCATTATACAAAAATAATTAGATAACTGTTTATATTATACAAATGTTATATATTATTCTATCTATTTACAAATACATGTTAATGTTGTTTTTACAAAAGTTTTAAATTAAGTTTCAGGATAAAGTGGGGGAAATAGTTGGTTAAAATGTTTGAGGAAACCTTGCTTGAAAGATTTGTTTTCACGTTGTGCATTTTCAACGGTTTCGACACGTCGAGTTAACACAACTTATCTTCAAGTTTAGGATGAGTTTAAACTTAGTCTAGTTTTCTTGAACAAAGTTTCAGCATATTATTTTATGCCTCTATTCATGTCTTAATCCATCATAATTTTAAGGTTCGGTTGAAGTTTCAAGTTAAACATTAAACCAGGAAAGAACAAAACTTAAATTAACTTAATCCTGGTTCATTTGAAAATTTAAGCCTAACTTTTTATAAAATCAGAAATCAAGTTAAAGGGACTGAACACGCAATTTCAAGTGACCTTCCATTTGTAGGGTGGCCTTTAGAATTCACAACGGTACCCCTCAAACCTCTGGATGGTCAGGGAAATAATATCCTTATTTACCAACTGAAAATTTAAATAGCAAAACGATAAGATACCTCATTGTTTCTGAGAGATGTTCAAATGGTACTGTTGTAAATTAGACATGCTACACTCATACTGGGTATCATTTTAAAATACATCTGTAGTCCTTTTAGAGTTCAATTTGAAACCTGGAAGATATATTTGAATATTATAAATAGTTAAACAATTTAGTGCAGAACTGAACACTGATGATGATACCTACCATTTGCTTCAAACCACAAAACCATGAACATAATTCAAATAAGAACTTAATATATTTAGAAAATATTTTAGTCTGATGTAGGACTGACTTGTAGAAAAACAAGTTTGTTTGTATAGGATTAGACGCATTAAGTATTAAATTTAATACACATGTATTCGAGATGTATTTGTCAGAGAAAAAACATTTTTATTTTCATTTATTTTCCCTTACTTTAATGTCAGCTCAAAGGAATTGAGTCTTTGCCACAAACTCTGATTTTCTGATCCCAATATCTTTGCAACCCAATGTCATACAGCCTTAATATTTCAAACTATGCATCATGTTAGACCAAATAATCTAAGTTTGAAATATCAAAGGTGTTCACCTTTAGGTTGCAAATATATAGAGATTAGAAAATTTGAGCTTGTGACAAAAACTCAATTCCAAAGAGACGTTAATAGGTTTTTTCAAAATAGATTTCAAATAAACTCTGAAAATCTGTTAAAAAATATGATATTCAAACTAAAATGGTTTATGGCTGACTCAACATTACAAAAGTAAAATCTAAGTATTTTTTAATGATTGATCAAATCTTGCTAAATCCATGAAATGAGCGCAATATTAATTGTTCTACGTCCTATGGAACCTACGAATCTAATTTCTTCTCCTGCTCTTAAAACATGGTGCTCAAAGCTTTAAAGAAAATTTAACTTTTGGACAAATAAAGGGTGTTTTAAAAAACCAAACACTTCATACTTTTTTCTCTCAGAGGGTTAATATCAAAATGAAATTAATATTACAATGTCTCTACTAGGATGTTAGGACTACGTGAAAAAAATTATCGGATTTGGTAAACCCTTCTCTGATTAAATGCTCTTTGTCTCTTGGGGATGGAACTGATAAGCCTACGTGCAAATAAGACACTTGCAAAGCTAAAAATGACAAGAATCTGTAAAAGGATATTCAATATAACCCTAAAACTCTGAATAGCTTAGTTACCAGATTACAAGTTCAGGGTAGAGGTAATTTAACCCAACACCTATATTAAGAGGATACTGTACCCAACCATTACCAGGCAAATACAGTTCCTTCACTTATCCTTCAACAAGCAGAACACCTATATTTGGAGGATACTGTACCCAACCATTACCAGGCAAATACAGTTCCTTCACTTATCCTTCAACAAGCAGAACACCTATATTTGGAGGATACTGTACCCAACCATTACCAGGCAAATACAGTTCCTTCACTTATCCTTCAACAAGCAGAACACCTATATTTGGANTTAAATAATGTGAATTGTTTTACAATTTTTATCATTGTTTAAAAATTAAATATTTTCCATTACAATAGAAAGAATTATATTTGAGTCTGTATGCTTTTAACATTAAAAGAATGTATAAATTATAGAAATTACACAATTTGATATGAGTTGGCAGAAAACAGGTTTTTATCTAAACACTGTATTTACATTTATAATGAAAACAACGTTTATGTTTAATTCAAAAAACTCCATTTTAAATGTTTAGATCACTTTTAAAGCAAAACAATTTTAAACATATGTTCTTTTCCTTATTTCAATTTTAGATTGGAGCAACGACGGTAAACTTTGAATCCATCAAACTTATAAGTTTAATTCAGAATATATAAATGTGAAGAAGAAACCGATATGTGTAGAAATCTAAAATATTTAGGTTTAAAGGAATTGAGTCTTTGCCACAAACTCTGGTTTTCTAATATGTATATCTTTCCAACCCAACGTCGTAGACCTTAGAATTCTATTAGATCAATCAAAGTTTAAAATATCAAAGATTTACACCATCAGGTTGCAAAGATATAGGAATTTTACAATTTGAGTTTGTGATAAATACTCAATTCCTTTGGGAACATTAGCTGTTCACAAGTTGGAATGCTTTATCCCTATTGACCGGATCAAAATATTAAATGCATCTGAACATAATATTCCACATTTGGTCGTCTTCGTAAAACAAATATACAGGGGGAGTCAAAAAAACGGATGAATACCGAGATCTTGCACATACTAAAGCATTGTATTTGGTAATCTCGTTTTTGACAATTATGTATGAAGTTTTTGAATTTTTTTAGGCAATTTGATAAACGTTTTTATTATATGCAAGATCTACCTATTCATCCTTTTTTTAAATCGCCCTGTATATTTATGTTTCTGAAGCATGTCCTTAGTATTATTTGCATGCTTAGTTAACAATGAAGAAAGAGTTAACAAGATTTTCTATTTTTAGATTATACAATATACAAACATCTCCGACACGAACAATAATCATTAAGAGTTATATCTAGTGCTGGGTGTTGTTAACGGGAAACAGTTGGTTTTGCAACGATTTACCGTTAACGACCGTTCTGAACAATTAACTGGGTTAGGGCTGCTCTTTAAGAAACTTGAACGATTATAAATAACTAACGTGATATTTGGATTAAAAACACGCTCTTTTCTCGTTAATCATTATCACATGTTGACAACCATGACTAATTTTCATTAAGGAACTTAGTTCTTTTAACAAACTGTTGTATTTAAATCTCCATATCTTTGCAACCCAATTTTGTAGACCTTTGATATTTCAAACTATTACTAATTCTGTTATATCAAATAGTCTAAGTTTGAAATATTAAAGGTTTAATTCATCAAAATGCAAATTTAGGTTTGTTGCAAGAAAACTTCAATTTCCCCTCAACATCTCCCTCCACTA